AAGTTGTAAAGCAGCAGCAGGAAACTAGTTAAAGGGACACTCTTGGTAAAAGCAGTGATTTAAAGGGATGTGGAAGAAGGGAGAGAGATGAAGCAGAAGAGGGGGAAAAAGATGGCGTTGCTGGTGATTGGAGAGAAGAGGAGAAAAGAGAAGGAAGAGAGATGATTTAATTAGCCTTCTCCATAAACTTTTACACACACACACACAAAGACACACTCACACAATGAACACTATCCCCATGAAGTCAGCTTTATCCCGCCCCTCCCCATGCTGTTGTAACTCTGCCCCCAGTCGATGTGTGTGTGTGTTCTCTCTATCACTCCTTTCCTCCCTGACATTCCAGCCCTTCAGTTCAAGCAGCTGCCCGACTTCGGACACAGAAGGAAGCAAATTGGTCTGGAAAGCTGTCGGCGTTCTTAAGAGAGTGTCTGTAAACTACCCACAGCCCTATTTTTTACACTCTCGCTGCTCTTTTCTGCGCTGTGCCCTGGAATTCTTGCAGGACGGCTCAGCACTGAGCTTCAAATACTGGTGAAGCATCCTCTGACTGACTCTGTCACTGAAGCCGAGGAAATTTCAGACCCTGTTACGGAGACAGAAGACGCATTGCCCTCACCAGCAAGGGGTGAGTTTCTGGCTCTTGTTTATTGTGCTTCACGTTCAGGTGCATCAACCTCAAGTTCCCCGTTGGTCTCTGAGGGGGGAGGGGGGGGGCACAACAAAGAAGGTCAGAAGCTTCTGGGGTGGGTGTGTAGGTAAGGAATATGGTCACTATCAGATGTTTTGCACATTGTATAAAGTTCCATCACGGTTTGGGATTTATGTTAATAATTTCCAGATATCACTTTCACTACCACTCCACTAGGGACAATGGGTAACAAAACATGTTATTCCTGTGGTGGTGAAGGAGGGAAATCTATAGTTACCTGCTAAGCTATTCTTTTTAATCGTGATGTTTTCAGTAGAGTAATGAGTGGCAGCTGAGGTCCCCTAATTCTTTGTAGTCTCTTGTGGTTCAGAAGGGATCAAACACACAGCACCATGCTAATCGGTTCAAGTTTCATACTTCTCACTGTTCAGAGCTTTTTCTGAACAAAAACTTTATACTTTTATAAACTTTATACTTTTATACAGAGTATTGTTTGGATTTTTTATTTTTTAACCTCGAGGTCCATTGTAAAGCTGTCAGCCCAGGTTCCACCCTGTTTTCATTGTGTCTTTTAGTCTGTGCATGTTTCAGCATTTTGCAGTATTTAACTTCTATCTCTGTGACACAGACCTCCAAGTTGACCTGCTTTAACCAAAGCACTTCAGATCCTCCTAAGCACTAACTCCCTGAAGACTCTCCTGCTACTAAGACCATCACCCCTGCAATAGGTTACCTTTACCTAGTCATGGGTGAAATTACACTATAGTGCTTTCACATGAAAACTAATCTGGTAGTTTGTGTTTGTTACATTCCATCAAGTTATCTATGAAAAACTGTGTTGGATAATCCTTGTTGATAAATGCACAGTGAACATCATTGGTGGAGAGGGTAGAGGAAATGGTTCAATGGCTCTGCATGGTTATTTTGGCTACTTGCATAGGCCAGCTGGACACCTTCAGGAGCCCAGTCACAGAGTACTTAACTAATACTAACCAGTTAAGTCCTCTGTGACTGTGACTCTTCATACTCACCTGATTGGTTGAAACAAAATCTTGGTCTGGATTTATACTTTCTGAACCTGAACTTTCCACCTCTGCCTATGACCCTCAGGTTCATACATTTGAGATGTACAAGAACTGGCCAAGCAATGGAGAAAGAAACCTTTACATTACACAGGAAAAGCCCATGTTGGTTAATTGCTTCAAGAGCTCATTTCATGCAAATTAAGTCAGCTGGCTTTCAAGCCCTCTGCAGAATCATGGGGGTGGGGATGGGGGCCGGTGACCCTCACATCGGGAGATATTTTCTCTCAGTATGTTGACTTCCGTAACACCAGGTGTGTGAATGCCAAGCAGCACTCTGTCGAACTGCACATGTGGAGTCAATTGCACTTTCAGTGGGCAGAAAATGAGCAAGCGCCTTAGGGCTCGTGTCGGCGCGAGTGTGGGAGTGTGTCGTTAACAACAGAATAAAGTGGTCTGAGTGTGTTCCTCAAGTCCTCACCGCAGCTTCGTGCCAGCGTGGGTGGGTAGAGAAGACAGCTTCAGAAAAGACCAGCCAGAATGCCGATACAATTGGTGTATTGACCATCTGGGTAGACTGGTGGGCTTCGCTGTTGTTGAAGCCTCTTATTGTGACCGACTACCTGCAGGACAGGGCTGTCGCACCATTAATCTTGTCTTCTGGCTCTATTGACATAGAGACAGAACATGGAAGAATACAGAATCTGAAAAATCTAGAATAGGCTTTTGGTTTTTGGCTGGGAACATTGAATGGGTTACCAAATTCTATTTTAGCTCAGGGTTGTGTAGTATCACATGTGTGCCCAAGCATCCAAACAGAAGCACACAAATTCCTGTACTTTGTAACATACTGCTGGTTCATGATGTGTTTGGCTGTCTGCCAACTAAGCAATTAATATGCATTCTCATGTTACTTGTTTTATTCCGAGCAGTGCCTAGTCCCAGTGTTTGACCACAGAATGGCAAAAACATGTTTTGTTGGGTGTGTGGATATGAATGTGAGAAAAAGTATGTCAGTGACAACAAATTTTGCCTCCTGTAAGATGTAAATTTTTGCAATACATAATGTCTCCACATAGTCCTCCAAGGGGGCAACACGTGTTATTTTGGATACATTCTCACCTGATCGTGGGATGGAGTTAAGAATTACATTAACAAATCAATTTTCAGGAAGTTATACTGCAAGTAGATGGCACTATATGTACCTCCATGTGGTAACACTCGGGGTAAAAGGTCAGGACAGAACGAGGAGTAACACTCAGGGTAAAAGCTCAGGACAGAATGACAAGTAACATTCAGGGTACAAGGTCAGGACAGAACGAGGAGTAACACTCAGGGTAAAAGGTCAGGACAGAATGATGAGTAACACTCAGGGTACAAGGTGAGGACAGAGCGATGAGTAACATTCAGGGTACAAGGTGAGGACAGAACGATGAGTAACACTCAGGGTACAAGGTGAGGACAGAACGATGAGTAACACTCAGGGTACAAGGTGAGGACAGAACGATGAGTAACACTCAGGGTACAAGGTCAAGAAGGGGCAGCAGGTAAGAGCAGGTAGAATACAGAAGATTCTAAAAATGTCACCTTCAACTCACCTTAAGCTGACATTATATTCATAAGTGACCATTGTAAAGTGGTGTTGCTGAAAGATATGTCTCCAGCTGTGTAAGTATGACATGTGAGGATGTGGTAATAACAAAATCACGCAAACATAAACATTTCTTCTTTATGTGTTTCCTTAGGGTTTTCTTGGCAGAGGGAAGATGTTTGAGTTTTCAAAGCATGCCAAGAAAACACTAACCGCCTGATAAGTGATAGTATCACACGGTGAATAGATCAGGAGTTTGGGTTTTGAGCCAATCAACAACCTGAAGTATCCTCTTATGTAGGAAATTGTGTAGTCTGTGCTTGCCTATGGCTTGCCGCACACTGGGATAATTGTACTGGGGTATTGTACTCACTGTGAGACACATATGATGTTTGATAAATAATGGGTGGTGCTTCCTGTTTACTGCAGGGAGATTTGCCATTTGGCAGACAAGGGCGTAGCAGAGCCCTCTATCCGACATTACCAAACAGCCACGACCCAGCAAACATTCACGTGTCAGTAGATGTTGCTTGACTACTTCTGAACTGTGCCAGACTTGCTCTAAGAGTTCCGTCTCTCTTTCAGGCTGCGAAGGCCCTGGCATCTAACCACGGCAGCCCTCCTGCAGCCCAGCATGAGTAAACTTCAGAGTCCAGGTAACGGTTAGTCCCAGGTAATGCTGAAGCAGGCCTTCAGGCATGATCCCATTTAGGGCTTTTCCAAAGATGGTCTACATAAGCATCCAAGGGAAGACTTATGTGTTGGCACATAGACAAATAGAACAAAGATGTTCATTACAAAGCACGTACAGATGTCCTTCTCAGCTAATGCCCCACAAGTCCTACATAAACACACTTCTCAAAGACTGTCAGATATTCCACTGTGATATACGATGGACTGCAATACATTTACACTCTGAGAAGCTGTACTCCGATACAGCATCCCAGTGAAAATGGCCATCATTCTGAAAATACCTATTCTTCATATAACAGATTTTAAGGAAAATTTTAATATGCGAAATATGTGGTCAGTCCAGTGTCTAGCAAGCCACTGGCACAGCTCTCTGTGAGTTAAATCCACCCAAACTATCTCCATTGCCGCTGTAGGGCTTACATATTTTTACCTCCCTTACTCCCTTGAGAATATCAGTCCCTGCAGATAACATTCCAGTCTTTCCTAATGGCATCACACATTGCAGGATTACCACGGAGACCGTGCTGTGCTGCTTAGCATGTCTAAGGCTAGGCTATGCTAGCACAGAGACTGCCATCGTCTCACAGATAAAAACAAGGTGACCGTCAATGCCGAGTAGAGCTGATCCTAAGCTAGTTCAGAGTTCAGTGCCAAAAACTAGCATTTGTCCTTTTCTTTTGAAGTGCTGTCAGATATTTCCTTGCCTTGCCTGCATCAGAGAGCATTTTGACATGGTGGGCCCGCTGGGTTTATCGTATTTCAGAATTCGGTATGCTGTGCATACTAGGATAATGTTGATTTTACTGTGAGGGCCAGATGATTTCGATGAATTTCCATATTAAGGTTATTCAACGCTCGACGCTACCAGTTTATCACAATGCTGGATTCAATGCCCCCGGCAATAAGGCTGAAACTATGAGTTTGGCAAACAGAGCAGAGAGGGGCCACTGACTTTCCTTTCTAACCCCTACCCATGTCCAGTGCCCCCTTCGCCTTCCTGCTCACCTTCCCGAAATGACTGCGGCATCGCTCCTCTCACCCCGTCTCCTTCCCCGGTAAGCGACATCTACAACCGGGGGCCTATGGATGGCTGGGACGTGCCCTGTGTGAGAAAGCAGCAGCAGGAAGTGGCACAGGAAGCGGGACGCTCATATGTACTTACAGGCCTGAAATAAGGTTTAATGTTGGGTTTGAGGCTTAGAGGTCTTGCTTAGGCAGGGTGAAAAATGCATTAGATCCGGCCTTACACCACTAAATGGGGATCGCATGCTAATTAGTGCATGGAATAGGGAACACACACGTACACAGTGCAATTATCTAACTATATTCAGCCTGAATTCTTTGCCATTGCTGAGAAAGGTCAAATTACTGATACAGGAGCCTGTACAGTGGTGGCACTGCGGTAAAATAACTAAAAGGTCTTTTTAATTGGCATGCGCACATCGTATTAAATAAATAACAAATACATTGAATCTAATGCTATTTTGCAACTCATATTTATGCTCTGTGGGGCTTATACACTTAAACAGCATTGAAAAGCATCACCAGTGCAAGATTCCGAAAGTCCTTCCAATGGCTTAGTGTTTGTCTGCACTGCATTAGATGAAGTGTCAGTTTGCACCTTCCTCCTCCAGATAATTCTAACCCTGCCCTGCAGTTTTTCCTCCTTTTGGCAGACAAAACGCCTCCTCCCAGATTATAGAGGTATGACATCATTGAATCAGATATAGACAAACGAGCACACTGCCAGGGTGCAGTATGGGGAATTTGATTCTTATAAGAAGGTTGCATGTTTGAAATCCACAAGGGAGCACGTCTTTTATACCTTTGAGCAGCTGCTCAATCATTTTCTGTTTATGTCACCCTGGTCAGGGTTAGTTTCTCAGCCAATGAATAACATGTACAGCCTAGATAAAGGCGAGGGCTTTTCTTTGGCTACTCTCCACCAGGATGTCCCCGCTGTGATAAAACCTCCTGCAAGTGTCACTTGTTTTTCTTGTCTCTTTACTTTATCTCCTGTGAATTTTCTATGGTCCATCCCGTGTGTCTCTGTGTCATTTCCTGTGTCTTTGTATATCTCTATACTACACCATTTGCCTGCAATTTATTTAATTTAAATGTTTTCAGTATACCCTCTCTGCAGAGTGCTTCTGTGTTCACTGCACTATGTGGCTTTTGTAAGGCTGTGTATGGATCGGATATTTCAGGGCCTGTAATGTTTGTCTTGCATACTGACCATACCTCTCTGCTTTGGTCATTCCGCATATGTCCCCCCAGGGTCCAGCGCTCCGGCCTCGGGCTGCCCGTCCTTTCTCTGTGGTGGTAGCCATTGACTTCGGTACCACATCCAGTGGCTACGCCTTCAGCTTCACGCAGGACCCCGAGGCAATCCACATGATGAGGTGATATGATCCCCGTCATCTCCCGCCTGACAGTAGAAAGTGAGACTTACGTGGGCCCCGCCTGACGCATCCCTTTGCCACTGTCTGCAGACGCTGGGAAGGCGGGGATCCGGGAGTGGCCAATCAGAAGAGCCCCACTTGTCTGCTGCTGACTCCAGATCTCAGGTTCCACAGTTTTGGTTTTGCCGCACGGGACAGCTATCATGACCTGGACCCAGAGGAGGCCCAGAACTGGCTCTACTTCGACAAATTCAAAATGAAGATCCATAGTACCAGTGTAAGAATCAAGGCGGACCTAAAGCAGGGGTGTCAAACTGCAATCCTGGGGGGTCAGAGCCCTGTGTAGCTTAGCTCTTTCCCTGATCCACCACAAATGATTCAGCTCAAGAGCTGTGTGGTAATTAGCACAAGGAGGTGCAAGGAGTTGAATCAGGTGTGTTAAATGGAAAAATGTGCAGGCCTAAAGGAAAAATATGGATCAGAGAGTATTGCTGGTACTGTTGCCTACTTTGAATGCTTGTGCTGGCCAAATCACCCAAATAAGTGGGGTGGAGCATTCCAGAACTGGGAGGAGGTCCGCATGATCAGAGGCATCAGCAGAAGTTTTTCAATGGGGGTGGCCAATGATTTTTATGGGGTGACACAAACACCAAGACAAAGCAACAACGAGAACAACAAGAACAATAATTAATAGTAATAATAACAATCATCATCATTCATCATCATCATCATCATCATCATCATCAACAGCATCTAACTAGCTCTGTTTGTTCTATTCCAAAGTGTTTGAAGTCTTTAATGTAAAACACAACAAGCATAATCAGAATAAACCACTCAGTAGAATAAACCAATCAGTTAAAGGTTGAGGACTGCTAGGGAGCAAACCACAGAACATGAGGGCAGGTCCTACACAGTAACCGGTTTTGCTTCAGGGGTGGCCAGGGCTTTCCAAGGGCCGCCCCTTGGTGGCGCACTTGCATATTCCTGGCATATTCAAATAAGCAGGCTATGTAAGTTATTCTGCTCTGCATTGCATTTCCTTTTGTCTGAATGTGTTAAAAGTTTCCATGGAAAATGATGCAATAGTAGATTAGGTGCTGAGGTGGATGCTTCAGGTCCACAAAGTAAAAATCCAGACCAAGATTTGGTTTCAACCAACCAATGGAGTATAAAGATTCACAGTCAGCCTGTTGATTGAAACAAAATCTTATTCTGGATATTTACTTTCTGGTCCTAAACTATCCACCTCTGATTAGGTGGGTGAGATCGCTGTAATGAAGATTCCTTTAAAAGTTTTCAAAAGTATTACGTCAAACCCCTCAGGCTTCAGCTAGTGTTCACCAAAGCTTCCTCAGTCACCCCTCACATTCTGCCTCTCACTCTTGAAGGATCTGACTATGGAGACAGAGCTGGAGGCAGTGAGTGGTCAGAAGGTCAGAGCCATAGAGGTGTTCGCCCATGCGCTGAGGTTCTTCCGTCAGCATGCTTTGAAGGTATGACCTCTGACCTCTGGCTTCCTGTTTCCATGGAGACACACAGTACCGACGGACACCCTTGTACCTTGACTCCAGAATAACCTGCCTGCTCAAGTTAGGTTATCTCCCTGTTGTCTCTTTTAAAAACACATGTTTATTTGTTGGCTTTTCGTCCCTTAATAACTCTTAGTTTCGGTTTATTTTCTATTTATTTACTTTTTAAAAATCTATTTATTTTCCTTATTTTATTCTCTGTCATACCCTGTACATCACTTTGGTACAGCTTCAGTTGATTTTAAATGTGCTGTATAAATAAATTTGACCTTTGACCCGGACCTCACACCTGCTGGCATGATTGAATGTACCAGTTTCAAATGTTAAGTTCTGCAACACAATGGCGGTTTCCATTATGGAAAAAGACATGGGACTGGAGAGTCAGAAATAGAATATAGCAGCTGGTTTTTGGCCAAACACAGCATTACGTTGTTATTCTAACATACAAACAAATCACTTCCATACTGCAAAGGCAGGCCCAGGTGTAAATATTAGGTAAAAATTAGGTGGCCCTTCCATAAGACTCTGGTTACAAAGCCCAGCTGTGCTGTTGGGCCTCGAAATCTCATGTTTTCTCTAGCTGGACATTTGTTTTGAAGCACTGCGCAGGAGCAGCTACACATTCCGATAAATATATGAGTGTGCGCGAGTGAGGCCATGCTGTTTACGCGTGTGGGAGTGCTTGTGCTGGGACAGACGTCAGTGTTTGCTTTGCGGAGTGATCTGCATTTCTGTATATGTGCATGTTTTTGCGTGCAGGAGATTAAGGACCAGTCGTCCTCGGTGCTGGAGGGGACGGCGGTGCGCTGGGTCATCACGGTGCCGGCCGTGTGGAGACAACCGGCCAAGCAGTTCATGAGGGAGGCTGCCTATCTGGTGAGAGACATGGTCCGAGAACATCTAACATGCCAAATTCCTTGAAGCTTTCCTGACTTGTATGTCACTTTGTATAACATCTGCCAATTAAATTCAAAACAGCGAGGTGGGTAGTCGACACCAGTTGTTTTTCTGCCTGTTTGTGAATATAATTATATGGCCTGAGCTCTGAGAGATTCGCTGCATGTTTAATTGGTGCCCCAAGCTTGCTGTAGGGTGCAGTTTGCTCTCTCCATCCCAGTAAGAGGCAGGAGGCTCACACACTGGGGGTATCCTTGCATGTTAGGCTGCTAAGCAGATGCTTATGGAAACACGTTAGCTTTCAGGGCACCAAGAAGTGCTGGAAGGCAGCTCAGGTAGGAGAAGAGCATGACAGTGTGACACAGTTGGGTGTATCAGGGTCACATGGTTTTGAACGTCAGACGCCCTGGCTTCCATCCTTATGAGTCTCCTGTGAGGGTCTGTAATCTTTGAGGGTCTGTACTTCCTGAAAGTCTGTACTCTTTGACTGTGAATAATCCCTGAGGATCAATAACCACCAGATTCACTCATTCGGGCTATTTGGCCAACATCTATTCCTAACTCAGCTTTGTGATCTCTGCCTGACCCCCCACCATCAGGGGCAATGTTCGTCACCCCTCTCCCTTCCTCATCAGTCTAGACTGCCTTTCCCTCCACCCCCATCCCTACTGCGGGAGCTCCTGGTCCCGGTTGAAATTTCCTCCTGACGATGTCATCGTGGTGAAACAATGCAAGATCCCGGTGCACAAATGCAGGAAACCACTCCTGCTGGACTGAGGAGGGGGGAGGAAAGCAGTCCAGCCCCACCCCCTTCCAGCCGACCATGTCACATGGAGCCCCACCCCCATTGCAGGAACTCAATCCCCCACTGTTCACCATCCAGCAGTCATCCCTCCGACTTCCTTCACATCTGCCTCGCGGAATGGCTGCATGATTCTGGATTACTTTGTGGAATGTGATTTGAAAAAGGCCCCCAAAAACTGATGAACTGATATTTGTATTTGCATTGCGGAAGTAAGTAGAATGAGCCTTTACAATGACTGATATGAGGCTGTCCCCAACATATTTCCTCCTGGATATATGTATATATATTTATACATATCTGTGTATTCATCTTTTACACAATGACCAAAGGTAGTTAGGTTAAATGGATTTTTCATGGTAGCATGGACATAGAAATTGAACAGCGTCAGCTGACTGTGATCTCTGTCTGTATCTGTCTCACTCTCTCCAGGCGGGGCTGGTCTCCCCTGAGAACCCAGAGCAGCTCCTTATTGCCCTTGAACCAGAAGCCGCCTCTATTTATTGCCGGAAGCTACGCCTGCATCAGGTGATTGACCTCAGCTCACGGCTAATCGCTAACGGCATAGAGGGCGATGCTTCCCATTCCTTTGACTCCAGCTTCAGGCAGGGTAAGGCCACTACCAGTGACAAATGTCTTATCAGTCAGCCAGAAACACTGCACACAAAATATAACAGAAATGGAAATAGTTTGTTGGGTGATTAAAAATCAAAAATGAACTGTGACCAAGCATTTTCAGGTTTGAAAACCAAAGGATACATTTCAGTCATCTAAATCAATTTAAAATAATGAAATATCTAATTATCTATGCAGAGCTGTAGTATGTAGATCATACAAAGATACACTGGTCTTGGAAATATGTGTCTCTTTTAGATAAAAAGTGTGTCCCAAAATCCCATTCCTTTGCTGCAGCCCATAAAGCTGTCAGCTGTTAGGGAGATGTGTTTGCATCATAAGGGAAGGGGCAGTGCTTAGGGTGGCTTTGACATGGAGGTCACGTGCATTATGGCAGCAAACAGAGGAAGGGTCCGTCTGCCGGAACTGCAGGCTGCGCTGTGCCTGGCCCAATGGCCCATGTGTGACGCTGCCTGCGGAATGGTGCAGCCTGGGGAGGCGGGTCCATGCAGGGTATGGCCTGTGCTGCTCTCTCACTGGGCGTTATCTGTGTTTCCCATCAGTAAGCTGAAAGCATGAGGCACACACACCTGCATACACACACACAAACGCATGCACACACACAGATGCACGCATGCACACACAGATGCACAAACACACGCACGCACACACACGCACGTATGCACACACACACGTGTACGTACACGCACACACCCACACTCGCACATACACACCCACACACACACACACATGCACGCGCACACACACCTCTGAGTGTGAGCCCTATAATTTAAACAAGGTGTTGAGACCATGACCTCACAATTCCCCCCTCCCCCACCATAAAATCTGCTGTGCATTTTCTCTCTTTCTTGTGCAGATGAGTGACAGTGTGTTAAATTATAGGCAATGCCAGAGTTTAGGGAGGGTGGTGTATGTAGTAGATAAGCTGTTGCCGTCTCCCCCCCCCAACCCCCCGCAGTCACAGTTACCCCTGCTGTCAGGCCCGCCGTGCATGATTCCCAGGCCCGGCACAATAGTTACAGTAACCGGGGCCCCATGATGTGTGGCCCCTCCCCTCAGGGCCCTCTTCTGGGCCCCCAGGCTTCCTCAGTCGTCACCCCCTGCCTGCTGTTATGCCCATACTCTTCTCCCTTCTTTTGCTTCTCCCCCACAGCTATATTTAGCCCCCACCCCCAGCTTCACCTTCCCACATGAGCTTGAGTGACATCACAATGAGGGGTCCTTACTGTAAAACAACATTTTCTTTTTCATACAGAAAATTGCTTCCAGACACCAGCTCACATTGTATGTTTATATTTCTTTGTCTGTTCCAGAAAGACCCTCTTGATTGCATTATGTCACAGTCAGCTTTGTAATGTGAGACGCGGCCCCAGTGTGTGTGTGGGGGCCGGGGGGGGAGGAACTGTTGAAGTTAAGGACAGTTTTTAACTATGTTGGCTTTTTCATTTCAAATGGGGAACATAACTTCTGTACAAAGTAAACCATGTGCGATGTCCTATGATAAGCTCTAACATCTTGGAGCTGTTGTGATGTTGTCAGACTGCAGTGGGACCAAGGATCAGTTAAACATCATGGATGTTTTAAAATTGCGGCTCACTTTCAATGATGTAATCAGTTTGGAGTTCTGTAGAACCCTCCAAAGAGGTCCCTGTAAACGTGTAGAACGTGGGAATGCAAGTTAACAAATCTGAATATCTGCTCCCCCTACAATTCATGCTTTCATTATGATATATGAAACCTCTATGAAACTTTTTTTGTGACTATTGGGGGAAGCTTGTGAGGATAGACAAGGTGCCCTGGGAGTCACTCGGACATAAACACATCACTGCTCTTTCTGTCCCCACAGCCCGAGAGCAGCTACGCAAGGCCAGGCATAGCCGGACCTTCCTGGTGGAAAGCGGCACAGGGGAGCTGTGGTCAGAAATGCAGGCAGGTGAGGCACCAGAAGGGGGGACACCTTTAGGTGTGAATAGGCACCAGAAGGGGGGGACACCTGTAGGTGTGAATAGGCACCAGAAGGGGGGACACCTGTAGGTGTGAATAGGCACCAGAAGGGGGGACACCTGTAGGTGTGAATAGGCACCAGAAGGGGGGACACCTGTAGGTGTGAATAGGCACC